AGCACCTTGACCAGCCTGGGCGTTTTCTCTCACGAACGCCTCCTCTTTGTCCGCGAGCGCGCGAATGGGTACTACTCACCTGTCACCTACTTCGCCGCCAAGGTGCTCTTCGACATTGTGCCCCTGAGGATCATCCCGCCAATCCTGCTTGGTGCCATCATCTACCCCATGACAGGGCTCTACGCCGATTACGGAAAGTTCTTCATCTTTATGCTTGTCTTGGTGCTCTTCAACTTTGCCGCCGCAGCCGTCTGCCTTTTCATCGGCATAGTCTGCAAGGACGCTGGAGTGGCCAACCTGATCGGCAGCTTGGTGATGCTCTTCAGCTTGCTCTTTGCCGGCCTCCTCCTCAACCACAATGCTATCCCACCTGCAGCGCTTTGGCTTCAGTGGTTGTCTATCTTCCACTACGGCTTCGAGGCGCTTATTGTCAACGAGGTTACGCAGCTGACGCTTGTGGACCACAAGATCGGTATCGACATCACCGTGCCTGGCGCTGCCATTCTGAGCTCGTTCGGTTTTGACAACCAAGCCATGTGGATGGATGTCATTAATCTCGGCATCTTTGGTGTTGCATTTATCATCCTTGCATACGCCGCTATGCACATTCTTCTTGTTGAGAAGCGGTAGAGGACAGAGTCATCATGGATGAGGCGATTGACGGGGATAGATTTGTGAATACTTGAATTGTAACATGTAGCTTGGGCCTTATGCACTCGGGACTGGCGTTTTTTCCATGCACTTCTGGCAAATATGTTTAGCGGAGTGGTGTTTGCTCGTCGTGTATTTGGCGTTTTCCGGACACTAGCATACTTGAATTCACCCCACATTCCAATTGGTCCTGCGGGACTTCGAGTCCATGCCGGTGTCCGTATGATGTATACGTGTGTCGTCTTTATTTTACATAGATTTAGTACACAACTCCATCCACTGTCACTCCATTTATTGAGTTCATTGTTCCAGACCAAGCTTGCCACCAGTAAGCTCCTCGGCCACCACCGCGTGTCTCCGCACCATCTTGCTAGAATCAAGGTTTGTGAGGCCGCGGGCGGAGGTGTTGCCAGCAAGCTCAGACTTGAGCTGTGATATGCTCACGGGCGGCCCAGTCACGTCCCAAATGCTAGCACCAAATTCAAAGCTCTGACTGAAAGCGTCGGTCTTGAACTCCCGCTCAACCCGCTGTTCCAGCTCGCTCTCGTCAACAATAAAGTCTCCCGCCGCAACGTACAGCTGCATCAGGGCATCCCGCCTCTGCTCCGCCTTGAACGCCATCTTGGCCTGGTGCCCCTCCGCAGCCTCCCGGGCACGCGCGAACCGGTTCCGATCGAAATGTAGTTTGGTGTCGAGCGCCGTCGACTTGAGCACCGAGCTGCGGGTCAGCGCATCCGGAGAGTCAAAGGGCTCGGGGGCTAGTGCTGCTGCCCGGTTGATTCGGCCGCGGGCTTCCTTCTTGGCCTCGACTCGCTTCGTGTGCGCCTGCTTGCGCTCGTACAGGCCTTGGAGACCGGCTACGAGGGCCTTTCGCCGGTCACCGGCGTAGATTCGGTGCTTGGCTTCGTTGACAGACTTGGGCGGGATACCGGCTTGCTCAGCGGCCGAGACGGGGGTTGCGGCCTCGGCGTATTCGGGGGCCGCCTTGCGGACGTCTTCGTCTTTGGCAAAGACTTGTCGGGGCACCGGCAGGTGGCCGCGTTTAGGGGGGTATCTGGGTTCGGTCGATTGAGGCGGTATGGGAAGCCGGATGTATTTGGGCGACTCAGGGGGGTATGGGGTGACTGTCCTGAGGTGGGAGGAGGTTGTGAACTGGTGACGGACGGCGCATGTTGGCAGGGCCGAGACGGAGGAGAGGGTGGCATGGAGGCCCGCGACTGCGGGTCGGGGGAGATGCGGTGGCATCTTGGGGAGGAATTGGATCGCACCGTCAAATCCTGGGGAACACAATTGGTGATGGGCGGTATGGGCGCACCAGGATCACAGGTTGTGGAAGCAAAAGTTGGGCAAATTCTGGAGCGCGGACCTCGTTCGCTGCGACCCGCATGCGCTAGGCCAAAGGAAGATTAGCGGCTTGGAGTTCTGGCTCTTTTGCCGGCTCACACCGCCAATTTTATTTTTCTGCACCAGCTGCTCCACCCCGCCGAAATCTCTCCTCCCTCATAAGCTGCGCGCATCTCTTGCATCTTTCTTGAGACTTTCCCCTTTGACCTTTGTCTTCCCCCTTTCTTCCCCCGACCCATCCCAGAAGTTTAGATTGCTTCTCGCGGGCGAGGCCTTTCTTTTCATTTCTTCTTTTTCGGTTGTTTTGTTTTGGCGGCAATCCGCCCATCGCCAAAATGGGAACCGGTAAGATGGCTTTCGGTCTCAATTGCGCCGACATGCAAGCGTCTAACACGGCGATACAGGGAAGAAGGAAAAGAGCCGCCTCGAGCGACAGGGGAAGACCCGCGGAGATCCGAAGCTGAAGGGTGAAAACTTCTATCGGTCCGCGAGTAAGATCAAGACCTTGAACAGGCTCAAGGACCCTGGGCCGATCAGGAACAAGGATGGCAAGATTGTCAAGGCCGCCGCGTACCAGAGCAGGGAGGTGCCAAAGGCCGTCATCGAGCCGAACCGACGGTGGTTTACGAATACCAGAGTCATCGCCCAAGACACACTCAAATCATTCCGGGAGGCCATTGCCGAGAAAGAGAAGGACCCATACTCTGTCCTGCTGAAAAGCAACAAGCTCCCTCTCAGCTTGATCCGCGATGGACCCCAAGATGCCATGAAGAAGCATGAGGCTAAGATGACGATTGAGAGCGAGCCATTCTCAGACACCTTTGGGCCGAAGGCGCAGAGGAAACGACCAAAGATCAGCTTCAACACCATTGACGATCTGGCGGCCAACACAGACAAGAGCTTGGAGACTTACCACTCCCGACTTGAGCAGATCAAGATGTTGAACGGCGCTTCGGGTTTGTTGCCTGAGCTTGCGGATGGTTACGTTGAGGAGGAAGACTTTAGCGTTTCCACGGCAAAGGAGGCCATCTTCAACAAGGGCCAGTCCAAGCGTATCTGGAACGAGCTTTGTATGTTCTGCGACTGCCTGAACGGAGGTGCGCGCTAACTGGTCATAGACAAGGTTATTGACTCTTCGGATGTCATCCTCCATGTGTTGGACGCCCGCGATCCTATTGGAACCAGGTGTCGCCATGTTGAGAAGTACCTCGCTGCCGAGGCACCGCATAAACATCTCGTTTTTGTCCTAAACAAGATCGATCTTGTTCCATCAAAAACAGCAGTGAGTTCATTTCACTCTCTCTGTCTTCCCCATCCAGTTCTCTTTTTGGCATTTCTGCTCGGCACATGTTGCCTTGCCGCGAGGCTGTCCCAGGGATTTTGTCAGGTCGTATTCCGCATTTTCAATGCTCGATGGAGTATGTCCGTTACATCGCTGGAAGATTAAGATCCACCTCCCACTGTCTCTGGCCTGGTCATCAGGCTGGGGACTGGTTATCTCCGTCTTGGGGAACGCCACGGGTAACCGGAGGCTTTTCTGATGAGTTGAAGGCCATCACCGGCCTTTTGCGCTGGCAGCATGGTGGTCTTCTTAGTGAAGAAACGCACATTTCCCGTACCACAACACTGTTATTGTTTGCCTTTCTGTTTGCATACACTAACGGCATCAGGCTGCATGGATCCGTGTCCTCCAAAAAGATCACCCAACATGCGCCATGCGAGCAAGCATGAAGAACCCCTTTGGTCGTGGCTCTCTGATCGACCTCTTGCGCCAGTTCAGCATTCTCCACAAAGACCGCAAGCAGATCAGCGTTGGTCTCATCGGCTATCCCAATATCGGAAAGTCGAGTATCATCAACGCTCTTAGGGGTAAACCAGTGGCCAAAGTTGCGCCGATCCCAGGCGAGACCAAGGTCTGGCAGTACGTCACCCTGATGCGTAGGATATACTTGATCGACTGCCCCGGTATCGTCCCACCAAACCAGAACGATACCCCTCAGGATCTCCTTCTCCGTGGTGTCGTCCGCGTTGAGAACGTAGACAACCCCGAGCAATACATCCCAGCCGTCCTGAACAAGGTCAAGCTGCATCATATGGAGCGGACCTATGAGTTGAAGGGGTGGAAGGATCACATGGAGTTCCTCGAGCTTCTCGCCAGGAAAGGTGGCAGGCTTCTGAAGGGCGGTGAACCAGACGTCGACGGTGTGGCCAAGATGGTTCTCAACGACTTTATGCGCGGCAAGATCCCATGGTTCACTCCAGCACCAGCTATGGAGGGTACTGAGGATGACGGCGTCATGGAGGGCCGCCAGGGCCTCTACGGCGAGATGCCTCTGAAGCGGAAGCGCGATGAGGCGGACAGTGTCATGCACAACTCGGCTGCTTCTGCTACAACGGCGGATAACGCAGCTGAAGATGACGATGAGGAGGAGGATGACGATTTCTCGGGCTTCTCAAGTGACAGTGATTCCGAGCAAGGAGATGAGGAGGAGGCGGCTGAGGTGGATGGTGCCGAAGATATGATACCCCTGGAGGATTCGGAGGATGAGAAAGAGGAAGAGGAAAGCGGTTCAGAGTCGGAGGGCGATGATGCCGAGGACGATGAGGCAGAAGCGTCTGATATCGAGATTGAGGGCGCCGATGAGCTCGTCGAGTCAGAAGAAGAAGAGGCACCACCAGTGCCGAAGAAGAGAAGGAAGGGCAGGTAGACAACAAAATAACACAGCCGTCTCTGCGCCGAGATTTGTCGGCACGCAGGACCGTAATGAATGATGAATGAAAACAACGTCCCCCCACTTTGCCACCACGCTTTGTGATTCCTCTTCCTGTTCTCCACCGCCAACCAAGCACGGATGGGTCTGTTCAGTTTTCCTCGAAGTGTTTCTGCAATTCCGGCAACCATCTGTATGACGCTTTGAAACAACTTGGGCGCATCTCGGCTTTGTGGCACGCCGCCAGAGTCCGTACGTCTCGAGCATCAATAACGACCCGATACAGCACCACAAGGCGTGTTGGCGGAGTGGTTATCGCGTTAGACTTGAAATCTAATTCCTTCGGGAGCGTCTGTTCGAATCAGGCACACGTCGATGTATGTTTTCTTTTTGCCCTTTTAGGACATGCCCCCGGAGCCTCGGTTTTTATCGGTACTTTTTTCCTCAGGGGCGGTTGCTTTCTCGAGCGCACTGCGTAGGGGGTAACACTCCCGCCAATTTATTCAGATGTGTTTGCGAGAGGATTTTGTGGCTACTGTTATAGTCAGTCTTTTAAATTTCAACTTCAGCTTGTCCAAAATGACAACCCGCCTCTGTCGGTGGGTTTGATGGGGAATGATCTAGGGACGGTTCCATCTACGTCTAAGAACTCACCACTCGCATTGCAAAACTCAGCGTTGTGTCCAATGGACCGTTGCTCACACGATGACTCGTTCTAGAAAGACAGGGCTTGTGAGACATGGCAAGTATAGTCGGCACTGTGTTGATACCCGCGCTGATTGATACTCTTCAGTGCCTCGAGCGTAGACATGACCAGGGATTTGCTTCGGGTATCCGATGGTGTGCAAAAGCGTCCTTGTTTTTATTTTTATTTATGAGGACGGAATAAAAGACCGTGGGGACCAAACATCTCCATCAAGTATTTCCAGCAGATGGTGTTGAAGTGTAGCCACTTTGTTGAAGCAACCGGCGAAGAGGACTGGCATCAGAAACTATACAACTGCCAGGAGAGCCGCTCAAACTGTAATTATCGCGAGCATCTTCACCAGCTACAATATTCCCATCCGTTAGTGTTCGGCGGTGGTGATGGGGACATAGAACCCAGGATCGATCACGTAAGTTGTACTGGAAGTGGTTTGTCTTCGACTTTTTAGATATTGTCAGCGCATGTCATTCGCGTACGGAAAGACAGTTGGACCAGATATAGGCAAGTACACTCAAAAATATGGCGAAAAGGCATAACTATGAGCTCAAAAGACCCCTAACACCACCCCGCATCATTTCAAGTATTGAATTGATATACCTTGTTTCCAATGAATGCACAGAGTGAAAATCGCCTCAAGTCCCATCAAACTTTGTTCATTGCCAAAGCTGCCAAGAAATGCACCTTCTCCTCTCGGATGACAACAGGATGATGCAACTACCCCTCACCAAGGTGTCTACGTACTGCAGGCAGGAACATAGGTATCCAAATACCCAACCAGTGGGGTGGGTGGGTGCTTTGTCAGAAGCGGCATCGGGTATGTGATGTGTAAGCCTCCCCCCACCCGACGCTACGGAGTGGAACAACGGCATCATCGCATTCAAGGAGAAGGGAGCTTCCGGAGATCCCTTATTCCAAATCGCAAACATTCGGGAGCTTTTTCCACATCTCCAAGCTCATAGCCTTGCCTGGCTGACTTTAAATACCGATCCAACTGCCCTCACTACTTGCATGACAACTACACTACTACACCCATCGCATCCTCAAATAAACCTAAGCTCCAGCCCGGACAAACCTGACCTGACCTGACCAAACCAAACCAAACACCAAACAACATGGCCCTCCCCCCCAAGTTCGCAGGCCACCGCCTCCTCCTCTCTCCTCCCTCAGCCACGTCTTCCGCCAACCCACACACCCTCGAGCTCTACCTGGACTACGTCTGCCCCTTCTCAGCCAGTCCGTCCCCTCCCTCTTCCTGTCCACCGCAACTAACAAAACCTCCAGAACTTTTCAACACCGTCTATACCTCCGTCCTCCCCTCTCTCTCATCCCAGCCCCTCGCAGCCCCCCTCCAAGTCATCATCCGCCAACAGATCCAACCCTGGCACCCCTCATCAACCCTCACCCACGAAGCAGCCGTAGCCGTGCAGCGCCTGACCAACGCAGACCCGACCAAATTCTGGGCCTTTAGCGCCGCGCTCTTCGCCGCGCAAAAGGACTATTTCGACGTCAACGTGGTGCACGAAGCCCGCAATGACACGTACCGACGACTCGCCAAGCTAGCTGCTAGTAGTGTCGGGGTGAGCGAGGACGATGTGTACAAGCTGCTTGCTGTACCCGACAAACCCGCCGAGGACGGGAGTTTGAATATTGGGAACGGGGTGACGAATGATATCAAGGTGATTGTCAAGATGGCGCGGTTGACGGGGGTGCATGTGTCGCCGACGGTGTTGTTCAACGGGGTTGTGGCTGGGGAGTTTAGTAGTGGGTGGACCAAGGAGCAGTGGGTGGAGTGGTTAGGGAAGAGTGTTGTTTGAATTTGTTGTTGTTGAACAAACATGTGAAGGAATCTATATCTTACAGGGCAGAGAGAGAGAGAGAGAGAATTGTGTTGTTACATGATCATTTGTAGTCCCATTTCCGCTACTCAGAGACTAGCTAGCCCAGCTGCCTCCTTTCCTTCGTCTATGCGCTGGAAGAAACAGAATGAAATGCGAGAAACTAGCCCATGCGATGCAAGACGATGCTGGGATGCACACCGAGATGGCAGGAGCTTGAACAGGGTAAGAGTAGGATATTTACAACGCGCAAACAGCCAATGCTGATCCCATTACAACCGATCCAGCTTACGCCGCTCGTTTCTTGTCCGCTTCATCAGCTTCTTGTACTTCTTCTTCTTCATCTTGAGCTTGCGAATGCGCTTCACGCTCAGGGTGTGCATCGTTCGGTCTTGTTGTTGGCGGGCGTCCTCCCATTTCAGCTGGCGCAGGGCCAGACGCTCCAAAAAGGAACGCGGCTGAGCTTCGTCTTCGACCAGTTGTGGGCTATGCGCCACAACCTTGTACTGGCCATCGGTGTCAACTGTCTCCTCAATCGTTACCATGGCCTTGTACACCCGCGTCTGGGGTTCCTCGGCAACAGGCTCCTCGGCGGCGGCACTGACCTCCTCGGCCTCGACTGGAGTGGCAGAGAGGGGCTGAGGTGGTGGTGGGGGCGTAAATGGCAGGAAGTCGCCCGACATGGAATTCAGCTGGAAGTTGATGTTGGTCTCGCTGCCGTCGGCATGCTTGAGACTCAGCCTGGCGACACCATCCTCGGCTTCTTGCGCTTGCTTATCGGCGAGGCTCATCTTGGACATAGGTCGTTCCAGATCGTGGACCGTCTGCGACAAAGTAGACAGCACATCCTGTACCCGATGTCCCCTTCGTGGTGTGAAGATCTCGGCAAAGGCATCATCGGTCACAGGCTTTGGAAGTAGCTGTGTCACCGAGATGGGCCTGTGGAGCGCAAAAAAGGTGGAGAGAGCAAGAGCTAGAAAAGACAGTCAACGACACAGCACTTCAGTAGAAGGCAAACACAGAGAGCTCACCCTCATCCTTGATATGCCGTGTGCTGGGCACACTAGGCAGCGGGGGAGGCGCAGAGCTGTCCTTCGCCTTTCGTTTCCTTTTTTCCGCCGCGGGCTTGGTTGTCGGGACTGAAGGACGGGCAGCGAAATCCCGCGAGCCGTCGTCTGGACTTGAAGGCTTCGACGAAGAGTAGCGTCTTTGGTGGCCATTGGGTTTGGCGGTGAGGCCATAGGCGGCGGTAGCAGCGGCTCGGGGGGTGGACGAGGCCAGGGAGGAGACGACGGGCGAGGCTGGCGCCGTCGCGATGACTCGCCGCACTGATGAGGGCAGCATGGTGACGAAGCTGCCGATGCTGCACGGCAGTTGCGGAGAGAAGGTAGGCCGGCGGGAGAGAAGGTCTATCAAGACCGGGTTGACGTCGAGGTTGGACGGTGGTGGTCACCGATTCGGCTTCGGTTTGCACGTCACGTTCGACTGGCGAGCGAGGTTCGCTTGGCTGAAAGCCTTTGTCGCCCGTTTTCGCCCGCGCTAAAATTGATCGCCTGAGGCTCGGAAATTGGCCCGTGCTATCATCCCACAAGACACCTGCGAGTCTTGACTTTGGGCGGACGGCTTTTTCCGCGACGCTTATCAATCTCCACTGATCCAAGGTCAATGGCAAGGGAAGGAAGTTGAAGCCCAATTCAGTTCGAACAGAAGGAATATGATAGATCCAGACGTAAATATTCCAGCCAGAAAAGATAATTTAGCCCATGAGAGAGGCACATTCGCTGGCCAAGCCTCCAAGCGACGCACACGGTGAAACCCCGCCCGCCAGACATGTTACCATCGATTGTGGAGTGCTAGACTCCTCTTTCCGCCTGGGGGACGGGAATGATACAGCGAGGCTGGCGCCTTCCTACGAACCCAGATGCCATCTCATTCCTTCCTTCCCTATCACAGGGCAAAGCTATACGGTTACGCGGTGCCACCACCGGAAATGACATCACTAACCACTTGCGTGATGTTGCTGAACAATGAGGGGTCAACAATTGTTCCCCAACTGTTCAACCATTATTAATGCTCGAGATCGAAAACAAAGCTGTTTCATCGCACTTCTGCCACTTACATCCATAAGTATTTAAGTGTCTGATTCCCGCAGCTCTCGAATACCCAGTCATCATCGCACCAAGAACAACCGTCTGTTGTGAACTCTCGCAAGATGCCTTCCAAGCTGTTGCTGTAAGCAACCCCATCGCCCCTTTTCCAAGAAAACATAGCTAACAATATCCGGTTTGAAGCACCGGTGTGACGGGTAAGCCAAGCTCACATCGCGATTGGACCTAGGTCAAGCCTCTAAACGTTGCCAAACCAGGATACATTGGCGGCGACGTCTTCTACGCCCTCCAGAAGGCTCACCCTGAGCTCGAGTACACCCTTGTCGTCCGCAGCGAGAGTCGCGCCAAGCTTGTCCAGGAAAAGTACACTGAAGATAGGATCAAGATTGTGTACACGACCGAATCTGCATCCTACCTCCAAGTCCTGGAGGAAGAGGCCAGTAAGACCGACATCGTCCTCCGTGCGTTGAAACCCCTCTTTGTGCAACCCACTAGACAAACTAACGCTCGCAGATACGGCCGAGTCAGCCGACGATGTGCCCTCCGCCAAAGCCATCTCTGCCGGCATCCTGAAGGCCGACCGCACCGCCTCCAACCCGATCTTCTGGATCCATCTCTCTGGCACAGGCATTCTGCAATGGTACGACGCATACGCGGGTCGTGCGGGTCAGCCCCCTCTGCCCCGCGAGAAGTACGACGACATTGACGACATCATCCGGCTTATCA